TCATTTAATTGTTCTTCATTGTAGATGAATGTATAAAATGTTCGATATGACAATGTACTTCAATGAACGAATACATGCAAGAAAAGAGAGAGAAAGAAGAAAAAAAATGAGAAGAAAAAGGAATTACACATTAGTAAAATCTCCAGAGTACTTTCAAAATAAATGAGAAAGAGCAAAAGAATGTGTTTAGAATAATTGAGTATGCAAAAAAGAAACGGCAAGTGTATGTATTTGTATCTGTCTTTATTATTCTTTGGATAACATGACCAGATATCTTCAACGTTCCTCTTTCAGGTAAACTTTCTTTTCGACTACGACATCACACGAAAATATTTAGCTTTATTTAAGTTCAAGATCTTAAAATTAACAATCGAAGATTTAATTATTGTGTTAATAAAATTTTCTCTCCATTTTGTTTGGTCTAAAAAAAATGGGGCTTCCTACAAAATCCTCAGTTCACTATTTTCTAGAACCAATTTTCAACTCGTATTTGACGGTTTTCGAGCAGAATAATACCCATTTCACTTTTAATTAGAGCTCGTCAAGTTCAAAATTTTCGGACTCGAAGCCAACTCGATGAACTCTACTTTCAATAAATATCGTACTTTGAATCAACATAAAAAATTGAGTTGACTTGTGTATGTTTCACAATTTTTCTGCAACTTTTTTTTTTGATCAAATAGTTTAAAACTTATTTTTCACTACTGCAATGACTTGTTGATTAAATTTCTTTTTTCACACATTCCTGAAATGATCGAGGGGTGTAAATTTGATCAGAAAAAAAAATGTTGCAGAAAAGTTTGAAACATTCATAAGTCGACTCAGTTTGTTATGCTGATGCCAAATATGATGTTTGTTTGAAGTGAAACAGGTATTACTCTGCTTGAAAACTTATATCAAATACAAAGTGCGTAGAAACTTTCATTAATACAATAATTAAATGACAAATGGAATGCACATAGATATTTCAGACTGAAAATGTAAGCAATAGAAGTTTTGTATACGATTTAGTAGATTCAAAAAATTATTTGAAATGCATTGTTCTCTTATGAAAATAATTTCTATTTGAATATTGATGATGACTGACTCTATTCCCAATTGTAGCTAACTCAAAACATGTCGAGTTTAGTATCAAAATGATCACAAGCCTATGAGTTTTCATCCTATATATAACCCAATTAGATATGGCCTTCAAAAATCAAAAGAACCGAAACGCATCTACGTTCTTTCTCTTCTCTGAGAATAGATTAGACTAATTTAGAATTGAAAGATAAGAAACTATGAAATAATATTTGATAGACTAATAAAACGATGACGTTTGAAGATTAAATTATTTATCATTATTACTTATCAAAAAAACTTGTCAATAAGAAGAAACACTTCAACATTCAATAATTACATTTTCATCAAGTTGAATGACCCTTCAATTACAATATATTTCTATGTGTAGCTAAGTCATAATGACAATAGATAGAAAAAAAATGGACTATGTAATATTATAGCTTTTACAAGGGAAAAGATCCTAACGATCTGATGTTTGTCCATCAAAAACTCTAATAATACAAAAGAAATTTAATAAATTCTCATAGAAGAAAATAAGAACAGACGAGAGAGAGAGAGAGAGAGAGAGAGAAAGAAAAGAAAAACGATCATCCACATATAGGTGGAATTTTTCTAGTAGAGTAAAAAAAATATTTGTCTATTCAGAGAAATTGTTCTCAAATCAATTAAAGAAAATTCTACAAAAGAAATTCAATGAGAACTAAGTTAGTTAACTTATGAATATTTGTCAACAAGCAATAGATGTTTCGTAAAATTTCAACATTTACTTCGTGGACCAATAAAACAAATTGGTATTTTCAACAACACTTTAGACAGTATGTAGACATTTATCTAAACAATCTTAAACTAAATATTTTAATACATGATAATAACTATAGTATTTCCCTAATTTTGAAACATATATATTTTTTCATAGAGTTTACAAAAAGAATATTCGTCCATATTTAGTTCAGAATACACTTGCCTTTTGTTTTTTTATATTTTCTACTGATACCTACTCAAGAGCGAGCAACTGAATAATATCTAAAATATTTCTAATCTTATTTGGATAAATTCTAGTTATGTTTTTTCTTTTTTGTAAATATAGGTTTGATTTATATACTATTCTTCGGCATTATTGTGGTTTTGGTCGAAATGATGATGATTTTGTTGATCGTCTGTCTCGTTTCTATTCCGTTCTTATATTTTCTGTTTTTGTCATTATTGTTTCTTCTGTACAATTTGTTGGTAAACCAATTTCATGTTTTGCTCCAGCATCATTTACTGATGCTCATATAACCTATGCAGATTTTATTTGTTGGATATCTGATACATATTTTGTTTCCATTGATGCTGAAATTCCTGAACCAGACGATGTCGAAGCTCGACAAGGTACCAATGCCGTTCGTTTTTATCAATATGTTCCATTTATATTAATGTTACAAGCATGTGGATTCTTTTTGCCTGGATTTTTTTGGCGAAGTGGTTCATCTCGACTTGGTGTTCCATTACAAAAACATTTAGATCAATTAAATATGAGTCGTTATTCAATAGCCGAACCACCAATGTATCGTCGACAATTAATACGAAATGTAGCCACTCGTCTCGATCAATATTTTCGTATGCGTCATCGAACATTAATACCAAAATTAACATTTCTTTATTTCTTTATAAAAGTTATATATATAATGAATATTTTTATTCAATTGATAAGTTTACATTATTTGATGAATTTTGAATTAACATTTAACTCATTATTTCAACGTTTAATTATTTATAGTAGTACCGTACGTCATGTATCATTACAATTTCCAACAAATGTTTTATGTGATTTTATTGTTCGTTTTCTTGGAAAAAATAAACATCGTCATACAGTTCAATGTGTTTTACCAATAAATGTATTTAATGAAAAAATATTTATATTTGCTTATTTATGGTTAATCTTTCTTTTAATATGTACATTATATAATTTATTTATTCAATGGATATTATTCATTTTATTTCATCGAAGTGTTATTGATACACGTGTTCGTCGTTTACGTCCTATGGCATCAAAATTTCGTATTAATCATGGATTTCAAGAAAATGAAAATGTACATGTATTTGATTATCAACCAATAACAAAAAATTTTAGTCGAGATTATTTACGTTGCGATGGCATTGTTATTATGAGATTATTTGATATGAATATTGATCTTGTTACAATGAATGATTTAATGAATGATTTATGGGAATTGTATAAAGTTAGTCCTGTATGACAAAGACAATAAAAAAAACAATTAGATTTAACTATAATTTTTGATTTTATATGAATAAAATAAATATTCTATATGTAGAATGAAAATGAGACATCGATCTTAGTTAAAATGCAAATGAATTAGAATTTGATCGGTGGATTGTTTAAATATGTTAAATAACGATGTACATGACATATTGTTTTGAATGATTAAATACAATTTTATGAAATCACAGATCTAACACTAATTTACTCTTTTCTTTCTTCAGGTCGATCTCATAAATAGATAAGCAATTTTCATTTGTTATTGATCATTTGATTTAAGAGTAAATCATTTCTGTGAATATTGAATATGTATATATCTTAGAATCGATTTAGGAATGCTTATACGATATTTCAATGACGTTAGATCGTCTTTTCATCGCAATCGATTATAAATAATGAATTCAAATAAATAAATAAACGATCGCGCTGGGAAACATTTCATTGGCAATTTTAATATATATTTTCGTCTAAGGAAAAAGAACAATTCTATAAGATATCATTGAATGAATACTAAAAACCGGGGGAATCATGTACGAATCAAGCAAGAAAAAAAAACTGTTAGCGCAATTTCTGTGAGATTTAAATATGAAATACGATGTAATTGTTGTTGCTAATCACAGGAACATTGCACATATGTTATAACGAGCCGTTATTGATATACAGCCTGTGATCAAGAAGAGACGTTGCTAAGGTTTTTTGTCAAATTTGTGGGAATGAAAATTTCTATTACTATAATTCAACATTCCTTGTAGATTCTGTTTCACAAAACAGTTAGAAGTTTGTCCTTTAGGATTCGATTGCCGTCTTCTAGCTTTCAAAATCATGAAATTTTGTTCAATATTTACTGTAGACTACAATTTTCAAACCTAGCCGAGCCCAAGTGTACCTCATTGGTCGATCTTCTGTCCAAGTCTATAGCTAGTCATAGTTGTAGGGAAAATATTGATCTATTGAATCTACTGCAAGGTAGCCGGAAGACAAGGATATTCGTTCTTCCAGTAGAATTACAGTGCACTATGAGTTTCATAGTTCAAATACTTCAGTTGAAGCCATTAGCTGTTCAATTAATAGTTAGATTACGGAGCACGATGTTTTAATAAAAACACATAATACTAAGGACTACAGAATTTAGTCATTCTTCATAGAAATAAGCTCTTTATGGGGATTAATGAAGTATATTTTGATCTGATCCGAAATTCATTTAAGTGAACTTTACTTTCACTTTTTGGATGATAACTTGAAAATTGACTGTACTACTTTTTTAAACAAGATAAATTTACATGTCTCTGTAGGAGTAAATTGTTTAGTATTTTTATTTATCGTTATGCTCGTTTTAAAAGTATTTTCACATATTGAAATATCATGAACTGCAAGAGCATAGATGATACAAAACTAACATATTTGTATTCAAATTCATACTTCAAAAAACAAATTAGACATGTCGATATGAATTAGTTATCAGAAATGTTTCAACTTCTTGAATACAAAATCTGTATATTATTAAAAACAAAGAAGATTTAGCAACGACAAGAAAAAATTTTATATATACAATGCAAACGTATTTCTCTGTTTGCTATTTTTTCTGTTGTTGTTTGTTTGGCGTAGAAAAGAAGAGGACATGATTTTTGAAAATAACAGGGACATATATCAATTGAAACAAAGAAAAAAAGAAAACATGTCACCATGATAGAAGAAAAAAGAAAAGAAAAAAAATTAGCAAATAACAACAAAGAAAAAACCATATATAAACACTGAGCAATCGATTATGTTTATTTTCTTTTGATAAAATTGATTTTGATAAATAATCAAGTCTACTTTGTTGTTGTTGAAATAATTCATTATTATCATTCTTTTCTTTATTAAAACGAATTTTTAATTGACTTAATTCATCATGAATTGTTTCATGTTCTGTTGTCAATGAACGACAACGTTGTTGTTCACTTCGATACGAATCTTCAGTTGAAACAAGTCGTTCTTAAAACGAAAATAAATATTAAATTGAAATTGTTGAAGAATAATTAATTTTCTATTCAAGATACAGTCCTTGCCCTCGAATAGGCAATTTTTCTAGAAGCTATAGAGCGCTGTTTTGGAGAAGTCTATAGAAGATAAGAAGAGGTTAATATGTAACTATACAAATCGTCGTAAAAATTTGCACTTTGAGAAAAAGTACCTCGACAACGAAATCCTACGTTGATGGACTTAGAGAGGATAAGCGAGTTGATTCAACGAAAATACTGACGCAAAACTGTTCAGTGATTGAGATGGATGTGTACCTCTGTGGAAGATACAATGATAGTTCGAACAATGTCAATGTTAGCATGCGGAAGCTGAAGAATGAGAATGTCAAGAAATCAGCTCAACAGAAAGGCGTAGATTGGACCTGAATAATATTCATTTATTCATTGGCATTGCTTTCCACGAATACTTTACAATGACGATTCGTAGATGGCTAAAAAACTGAAAAGTCGATGTCAAGCAAAATTCACAAAAACAAAAAGAAAATCGTGGTATAGGACGGTTTTAGTATAATAATCCTAGTCGGCTTATATTTATTCAGGAGAATATCGGCAATTAACTACTATTTTCAAGAGTACAGAGCTCGAGCAATGAAACGATTTTCACTTCAGAAAGTTTCTAGAATGATCAACTGGTTCTCCGACACTTTCGACGTCAAATCAATCGAGAATTTCTGTTTGACCCTTCAATGTTATGCCCAGAAGCGGCGATCGTCAAATCTCAATGAACTGAACCTATTTCTACGTAAGAAACACTACAAAATCTGCTTGATGATTCAAAATCATTTGATAAAGCCGCGATAGTTAGCTTTGATTAATTCATAGTCATAGAGAATTACATATTAATTGTAGTACTTTTGTACTATGCTTTATTTATGAATATGATTAGTTTTCATATTCATCATGTCCGCTCTCAGAAGTAATTCAAACACTGGAGGCAAACACTTTGGTCTTTTACAATAGATAGACAGACATAGACTCAGAAGCAATATAAATTTAGATCATATTATAGTTGTGTCGTCCTGCTTAGCAACACGGAATGCAGAGACTAATTAAAGAAATAAGGCTTCTTATAGGGATCAATGAGATAAGTTTAAGCCTGGGCCGGAATTTCTGTAACCTGATTATAAAACGAAGTTTTTTTCAGCGGTGAATTTAGACAGGGGCACTACGAGCAATGGTCTCTCTCAATTTCTCCAAATCCTAGAACTATCACTGATCCTTTAAGCTTTTCTTAGTCTCATCGAGACCTACTCGTAGCTATACTAAGAAGCCTAAATTCTCTCGTGAAAAGATAAATTCGGAAAACTTCACGAAATATTTCCCTGACTTAAAACTCGTTTTATTTACCCATGGTTTCATTTAAATTTTTACGTAATAAATCAATTTGTTTTTGTGCTTCTATTAATTCATTCATTGAATCAAATCCATTAATGTTATTATCATATTCTTCTTCATGATTATGATTTATTATTGAATCATTTTGATTTGATGGTATCATACTTTGATGAGGTTTCTCAATTTCTCCATTTTCAATTATTATTGGAATCTCAACAGAATTAGTCGTTTCTTCAATAATTATATCTACAAATAATAAATATAAGGATAATAATAGAAAAAATTTCTATTTCTACCTTTTGAAGAAGAATCTTCTTGACATTGATCGTGACTTGTTCCATTCTAAAGAAACAAAAACCAGTACGAAAAAAAAAACTTTTTTTTCTTATTTTTTGAACCTGCATCGATTTCTTTTGTAATTCTTCTAACTGATGTGTTCGTTGATAATATTCGTCAAAATTAGTTTGTATTCGTTGTTTATCATTTTCTAGTTCTGTATATTGTTTGTCAGAATCCTGTAAATAATGTTCATATTATAATAATATATAGATAAATTTAAAAAATGAAATCATACTCTTAATTTAATTTCGAATTCAGATATTAACGAACGTTGTTCATCAATTGATTGTACAAGTTGTTCAGTATCTTGTTTATGCTGTTCATATAGCTCTTCATAACGTTTCAATTCATCTTGTATTAATTGTAATGAACATTCAAGGGATTTGCTACGATTTATTGCATCGGCCCGTTCGAGTATAGCTTTTTCTAATTTTATCTTTAATAAAAAAAACAAACGATTATTAAAAAAGGAATTGTAAAAATCATGTTTTCTTACTTTTGATGCTTCTTCAAATTTTATATGTGAGTCAGTTAATTGAATTAGCTCTTGTTTTATTGTATCTTCATTTGGAAACTAACAAAATTAAAATATAATTTTCTATTTTAAATTATATGAAAACACATTTATACTTTAGTGCGATAAATACGAATTTGATCTTCTAGTGCATTAATGCGTGCTAGAAGACGATCTTCATGAATAATTGCTTGCCAACTTTCATTTGATGTTTGCTGTGCATCACGTAAAACACCTTGAAGAAATGCAAGTTTTTGTCCAAGTGTTTGCTCACGATACATTGCTTCCTAAAATTCAATAAAGGAATTTATTTGAGTATATAATTTGTAAAATACGAATGAACAGAAGTATTGAAGTATAGAGGGAGACTTTCACACTTCCTATTCTGCTCCCACAGATCATGACTAATACCTTGATAATATTATTTTGCAGACTAGAGATCGGCAAGTAGAACTTGTCGAGTTGATCCCAAACTCGATCGGGTCCGAATCCGAGAATTTTCGTCCCGACAAGATCTATCTATAAGTTCAATTCTAGTTTGGATCTGAAGAACTGTTAAAGTGTAGGGTTCCGGATTTTTGTCAATAAGACTTTCGCTCAGTTTCAGACACTGAATTGGAAGATGGTTGACGTCTATCGTATTCTCTAATAAAAATCTTAGCAACAATCTATTAGAGCCTGTGATAGAGATAGTCGCGAAAATGAAATGTATATTTTACTTTCATAAATTTGCTGAAAAAAAAGCACCTAAGTTTATTTAAAAAAAGAAGTCCTTAATAAATTAGAGTGGTCAGTAAAATAAATGAAATGAAAAGCTAGTGAAATCATTAAAAAATCAGTAAATTACTTATATGGTAAGTTATTAACTAATTACGTGTGTTAATAAATTTAAAAAATAACTAAATAAAATTTATTAATAGTCAATTAAATAAAAAGATAACTATTGAAATTGATATGGTCAAGTATAAACAGGGAAGAGTGATTCAACATTTTAAAAAAATTTTGAAAAAAGCTAAAGCTTCATATCAATATCAAATGTGATTCTCATATTAATAAAACAGAATAGATATTAATAACGCCTATAGCAGTCGATTTTGTTTTATTGCAGCAGATGAGCTATTACATGTCTACGATAATAAGGGAAAAAATCATAATAAGGAATATTCAAAAGGTAAGGACGAACGACAAACAAAAAACAGTTGTACAATATTAAAAAGAGAATAGAAAATAATCTATAAAACTAAAGTAAGGAAAGGGTAAGGTTATTCGATATTTGATATATAGAAATGGATAATGGTTCACATTTGGAAAAAATCAAGATGTAACTGACTAGCTTTTTTTAAGAATCACATATGTTAACACAGTGTTCTTATGACTGTTCATTTGAAATATTCTAAGTTATCACCAGTAACAATGTCAGTACTGACCGTTAAGAAAAGAAAAAGTAGACTAGCAAAAGGTAAGCCTGCTTGACTAATATAATAATTCAGTTTCCATCTTCTTTGTTTGTGAAATTCATGTATATTTTCGAACAAAATAACAGTGAGTAGAAGTTCAAATCGAGGTTTCCACGACTCCCTCCTAGAGCCTAGCAACCAGGATTAAAGGTGCTGAACGATACTAATAACTAAGCTGAAAAAATTATAGAACATTTTTTCAATATTCTAAATAACATAGTTTCTGATTTTTACGCAGATAAACGAGTTTATTCAAAATATCAAGAGTGATGTTTTGATTTTTCACAACTGTCACATGACTAACACAAAAGCATAAACTAATTAAATTCTAGCTTTCGAGGAAATACATAATAAAACGTTAAGATCAACTATAGATATAACGAAAGTGTTCAACAGACTTATTCGTTCATTAAATCAATTGTAAGACTAATAATAATAAATTATGAAAAGAAAAGACAAATGACAGAGCGCTTACTGACAATGGTTTCTCGTTAGAAAAGAACTATGATCTTGTAAAGCTTTTACACTTTGCATATTTTGTATTAGTTTAATGAAGCTCAATAAGATATGTTAGTTCTACATTTCAGCCCTAAAGAAACTGAGCTAACAAGTTTTTCTTTTTCATTTATTCTTTGAATTCCTATAAATGTTCTTTTGGGCTTTTTATTATTTATTCTCTGTTTGTTTGTTTACTTTGATTTTACTTGCTTATGCTGATTTATAATGTATACGTATAAACTGCTAATTACATATATCTAACAAACTGACCATTTTACAATTTATTACTGATAATTTAAGTACTAATCATTTCATATATATATAACCAACCAAATATCATGTTCTCTTATTTTAGTTTCATAATTCAGAGTATAGAGTACATCAAAATTGATCTAAAAAAATATGTGTTAATGTTAAAAGCTTTTTTCTTTAATTTACTTGAATATATTGTTCTAATTGATATAATGTTTGAGTATTTATATCAAGTTCTTTCATTTGTGATAAAGATTGATCATTAGTACTAAATGAAAAATAATGTTTTATGTTCATTTATTTATAATATTAATTACTTTCGAGTTAAACCTTCATTACCATCTGTATGAAAAAGTTTTACTTCCATAATAATGCAATTATGCGTAGCTAATGAATAGAGAAAAAAAAATGAAAATTTTGATTAAGATAGTTTTTTTTTTTAATATGACATATTACTTTTTCGATTATTTTCAGTAACATCAACACCAAATTGAATAATATCACCCGAAAAAATTTCAAATGATGGACTTTCTTCATTACATTTACCTAATCGTTGACTGTTAACAAACGTACCATTTGAACTTTTTGTATCTTGTAATAAAAACTAGAATTATATTAAAATTATTATTAAGACAAATGTATATGATTTTAATGATCAAAATTTTCATTTGATTTCAATTCAAAAAAAACAAGATTAAAGTATTTATCAGTTGACGAGTGCCTGTTTTTATTGAGCTTCAAAAATAATAGCGTTTATTCATGGAGATCAAAAACTTCAAGAAGACAACAACCATAAAAATTCAAGATTTTGTGTTTTCTACTATCAAATTATCTCATATAGGTGTATATATTCAAAATATAGGAATCCCTACTTGAGCAATTTTCATTACAAACATCTATGAAATTATATAGATATTTATTACTCAATCAGAGTTGAATCAATCTTTAAGTACAGTAAAACCTCTTCATAATGACATATGTTCTTCTATCACACACATGTAGAACGAGGAAAAAATGATGTTATGATAAACATTCATGGAACACATTGAAAAGAGCATAGATTAGTTATGGATATTTTAAAAAAAGTAAAAAAAAAATGTTTGGCGTAACAGCTTGTCGTTTTTATGTTAATAACTAATAACATCAGCACATGTCAACATGAGCTGATTCATTCATCTTGGATTAAAAAAGTTGAATTAGTACATTGGTGGAAAGAAGGAAAAAAACATCGCCTTGTGAAGCCGACAAGTGATTATAACTGAACACTTATAGATTCCAATAAAGAAACTAAAAACTTCTCAGTAGCAAGTGCTCTCCATAATTGTGAGCACTAGTAGCCGGTCCCAGGGATGTATAGTATTAATATAAATACAGACGATGAGTAATCGACACAGGGTCCACTACAGCACTGGTTACATTAACATGCGTATTCGGTGCAACATGAAGACACTAACTCTATCAAAATATACTCTTTTTGTAGCGGTGTGCTTCAGCGAATACTGGTGCCCCGTGTAGTCAGTGTGCACAAACTACACTGAGTCGGTGACTTGGATGGCCAGTAAACTTAAATTTCATATTCCTCGGCAATCTCAATAGTACTTACATAAAACAGATTTTACTGTAGTTTTTTTTTAAATCGATGAATTCATTTTTCGAAGAATTTATGACTCGCTATGTTTAAAAATATATTGTTCGGTGTAGTTTCGCACATATATTAACAAATTCGATTCGATGCATTTCTAATACTAAATAAATTAGAAAGGTATTGTGTCCGAAACATGATTTTTGACTTGTTTATTAAGAAAAAATGTATCGTTCAACAGAAGATAGCTAGAAAATGCATCTGTTCCTTGTAAAAAAAACTGTTATTTAATAAGGTATAATCTCCTTACAATGTACACTTTTGAAAAGTCCAAAGAATCTTCACGATAGAAAGGTCATCCAGTATTTATTTCCCATCAAATAAAATTCACAACTATCGTCTCAGATAGTCATTGGTTTTATTCAAATATATGAATCTCATTATCAAAAAAAAGCTAGAAACCTAATATAATTCATTTAAATTTTCATGCTACTTTTTTATTTTTACTTTAACATACTTTGCCGTTTTCGTACCAAATTTTAGCATGTTGACGTGAAAGAACTTTACAATCAAATATGGCATTATTCGGAAGAGCTTTAAGTCGAGCAACAGCACGTCCAACTTTAACTTGTTCATTAAGTGGAATGCAACGTTCTTGGAACGGATGTGAATTTGGTTTACACTGAAATACACAACATGGATATGTTATTTGATTTTTTGATACGTCAAATGTTTGATTCAATGATGATGATGACGATGACGGAGATAAACTGTCATTCATATTTGTCAATGATAATGATGATGATGGAGATAAACTATCATTTGTATTTATCAATGAAGATGATGATTCATCCATCAAATTTAAAACCAAATCACTCGGATAAATTGATCCATCTGTATTTTCAAAAAGAAAAGCAGATGAGGATGTATGAGTGTCCATTATCTAAATAAAACCAATCATTATTTGATTTTTTTATTTTCTTGTTTAGAATAATAATACTAATAATAATAATAATAATTACATTATCTTGATAAAATCCATTTGGTAGAAATAAAACACAAAAAAGAAATTTAAGGACGGAAATTAAAAACAATATACATATTGTAACAAAATAAATTTATCTAAAAAAGAAAATGAACATCTTTATTATTACAATTTAAAACTTTAAATCAGAAAAAAAACAAAATTATCATGTATTCATAAGTAAAATATTAGCTGAAGCAGGTAATGATGATGAATTATTTGTTGTTGTTGTTGTTGTTGCTGTTTGTATGGATTTAATAAAATGTTTAGGAAAACGAAGTTGAACTGTTGGACAGTACCGCGCACGTTCATGTACAACAGGTGCTTTTACCCATCGTTGAGTATCCAAATCAAAAAAATAGCCTTCTTGCATAACAATAAATGAATTCGATGTATGAAATACAGATATATAAATACGTCGACCAACTGTACCAAGTGATTGTGGCCATGTTTTCGATACAGCACCCGGTATTGATGTTAAAATAGTCCATTGATCACAATGAATATCATAACTTTCAATTGATAACATACCATTTCCATCATCATCAAAACCTCCTATGGCTAAAATAAGATTATTTTTATTAAATTGTAAATAATAATATTATTAAGATTATTTACCAAGAATTTTTTCATCAAATATATGAAATGCATGTGTTGTACGAGCATTAAGCATTGAGGCACGTTTTTCTAATTGACGTTTATCAATTGAAAAACAATAAAAATCAGCAATTTTCGACCTAGNTAATTACGTAGAACCATTATGTAAACGAGCATTAGAAATTCGAGAAAAATGCTTCGGTGTGGATCATCCTGATGTAGGGAAGCAATTAAATAATTTAGCATTATTGTGTCTCAATCAAGGTAAAGTACATTTTTGTCATTCGACCGAAGTTTTTTTTTTGTTTTCATTTTTCTTAGACATGGTTAGATAGAGCTCAACAAACTGAGTAAAAATATGTATTTCATTATTATTTTAGAAAAAATTAAGGTTTTTTTCTAAAAGTACGTTTCTCATACTAAAGAATTGATGATATGTTTACGTTTGCCATTGAAAGTTGAGTCTAGAAGACCAATTTGAACATTAGTCTGATGGACTCAAGTTTTCATGACAAACCTAAATAGATTAGTTTTTTTAGTGTGAAAAAAGTACTTTTAAAAAAATAATGGATCATTCAGGACTATCGAAAAAAGCTCGATTTTTTCAAATCAAAATGTTCTCAAAAGAAAAACAATAAACTATATATTCTTACTGAGATTCTGAAGTTCTATCAAACCATTTATTAAAAAAGAAAAATTTGCTTTTTTTTGCACCTGAATTTATTTTTGTTATCTTAGGTAAATATGATAAAGTAGAAGAATATTACAAACGTGCTATTGAAATATATATAAAACATTACGGTAAAAATGATCCAAATGTTGCTAAAACAAAAAATAATCTTGCATCGGCATATTTACGTGAAGGAAAATATAAATTAGCAGCTGAATTATATCAAGAAGTTTTATCAAGTGAACAATGTCAAAATTCAACTAATAATTTAAATACAACATCGGTTTCAATTCGAGATGGTTCAACAGTAATGACAACATTAAAAAATCTTGGTATGCATTTTTTTCTTTCGTTTTTAGAAAAAAAAAAGCAATGAATAATTTATTATTTGTTTTCTTTTTGTTTAGGAGCACTGTGTCGTCGACAAGGTTTCTATGAACAAGCTGATTATATTGAATCATGTGCAACAAAATCAACTCAAGATCCAGAAGCTATCAATCGTGCTTTACATATTTTACGACAGTTACGTATCTATGATGATATTAATCAAGGCACAATGCGACGTGCTCAACAACAGCCACCTCCACAAGAATATGGACGATTGCGTCGTAGTGGTTCATTTCAAAAATTACGACAAAGTATTCGACGTGGTTCAGAAAAACTTGTACAAAAACTGCGTGGAACATCGTCAACTGGTTGGAACAATCAATCATTAAATTCTTCACAATATCAACAACAAGAACAACAACAACAGCAGCAACAAGATGATAATAATAATTATGGTCCAATGAAACGTGCGTCATCGTTATCCGTTTTAAATAATGTTCCATTACAACAACAACAAATAAACAGACCATTGACGACGACAACCAATTCAGTCGAACAACAGAATAATCCTTCATTTAAACAACAATATCCATCGACATTTGGTGGTCGATTGGCCAGTGCTGAAAATCTTCATTGATTATTTATATGAATGAAGTTTTACACTAGTCATATTTACCATTGTATTTTTTTTTCGTTTTTACATTCCATACACATATTGTGTATTTTAACACAATATTGGTAGTTGTTTTTTTTCCTTTTTTGGGTGCTTCATTAAAATTATAAATACAAATCAAATTTTTATTTATTGAACTTCTTTTTCCTTTTTTTTTGTTCTCAAGAGAAAGAAAAATATATCACGCCCTTCGACTACATGGTCGGTAAAGGATACTGGCAGGAAACAGTTTCGTAAGTTCGATATCTTTTCTAACACTAATGACAGAAGATCCCTAAGTATATAAATCTCTATTTTCAATCGACTGTATGCTAGGCATATTGTATTGTCCTGAGCAGATGCCGAAAAATGGTAATTATTTTGGGGAGCAGAACGGTATTTTAAAATTTAAACAATAACTAATAAAACACTTAAATTAACTTAAAATTTTTCTATTGAACACATGAAAAGATCATTCTGGTTATGACATCGAATTTCTTTGTAAAATCTATATTGATTGTATCGTAATTAGAAATGAGTAGAAAATTTTCCATTTATTAGCAATGATCACAAAGTAGAATGATTACATGAATCTTTTTGTAATACAAGAGGTTTTTTATTCATATCCAAACATGATCGTTGTTGATTTGTATTGCTAATCGGCGAAGACGATTAATACCTATTTTTTTTTCTTATTTCAATCAGTTCTGATCATCCAAATGACAAGTTAAAATTTTCGCATATGATACAGAAAGAGCATCTTTTAAATACTGCTTTCAATCTTCTTCAAGTAATTTTTCTGAATATGCTCCATGCAATGGTCGATAACTCAAAACTTGATTACATCACATCCCTACAGCGTATTTTTCATTATTATATATAGTGCTAGTCGCTCTTATTTATAGTATTGACTTTTATAAAATCATTGCAAAACTGTTAGCCTACTTGAAAATACTTAGAATGATTAACTTTCGAGAACGCACATATATCGACTGTCAAAGCATAGATTTTTATTTCTAAAGATCAGAAAGTCTTTTTTTTTTAACAATTCAAAATACATTCTGGTTAACAAATTTATTACAAGATTCTTTAATAATAGTGTCTAGTTTTTATTTCTGAACAGATTCTTCTTTTTTATCTTAAGTTGTATGGCAATGTACAACTATATGCATAATTATTACTCTAAAAACAATTCATAAATGAAAATTTCTATTTGATCACTAGAATAGATCTCACTTGTTTGGTATCTACAAATGTGGATTTTATTTAGGGATTGATTTATGAAAGCACAATTTGGGATAAATGATAGGCATCCGAATGAATCGAGAGTCGAGTTCGATTCGAATTAAATAATCAACAGAGAAAGTTTCGTTTTGTGAAATACTTTACTCATTGAATGGTGACAATGTGTCTTCAATGAATTTACGCTGAGAAAGATTTGTCATCTTTGCATAATCTTACTGTTCATATCACAAAAATTGTTTCAATTTGGATGGTTAATCATGACTTTGAAAAAATTTCAATTTATCGACAATTTCACATCATAAAGAAGGGTTGGATAATTCAATATGTGATTTAATGTTTTCTATGTCCGTACATGAAAGTAACCATTTTCGAAATAGAATAATTTGAAAACCATAATTACAATTAGATAATTTGTTAAATTGTGAAGATTCCTACAATAGGTGTACTGATAGATTCATTTCAGTCAATACAATAGAAATGAAAAAAGGTTTCTCTGTCTTATGTGAAAATCATTACATTTTTCTGCAGAAATTATTCAAAGTATCCAATATGATTTTGCAGATAAGGCAAAACTTTTCTTCTATACAATGATGAAGAAAAGAAAGTATTTTTTAAAAATCTCTATGAATCAATTAGAATCTAAAATATTTGAGAAAAGATGCAACATCAAGCTCGAGACCGTCATTGAAAAATTACCAATACAGTAAATGGCACTTACATTTAAAATCCCATCTAAATTTTTGGTTAGTATATCACTCGACAAATTTTTCTTAATATAGTATTACAGTTGTTGAAGTATTATTTTCGACGAATATTATGCCATATTCTTTTTCACTTCTTCAACAGAAGTTGAAAAACTTTATCATCATTATTTCCATGTGTATGAGATGGGTGCGGGTAACAGTGGATAGCCATGCGACAAAATCGATTTTCGAGATTCAAATCCATATCGTAGCTAGCATTGAAGCTACTATGGTGTTGCGTTTAACTGCGTATTGGATTCTGTTTTATAGCTAGTATCTGTTAATAAGCAGATACCACAAAGTACATAAAACAGATGAATAAGATTAATGGGATCATATAAGAAAAATATATGCTTTAATTTGACGATCTAGTTATATTCATTAGTTATTATATAGTTATACAGTGTTATGTATTTACTATATATTAAGGCCATTCGGACTTTTTAAAGTTCTGTAGGCTATAATAAGGCCAAAAACTTAGGCCAAGTACAGTAAAAAATAGCTATTAGCCAGAAATGCAATTCGTTTCCCAGATTTTCTCGGAACATTAATTCAAGTTTTAGTTTGTTATTTGGTAGAGCATATCATTCATCTATCTTCAGTGGATGCACAAAGATACGCACTTAAATTCTTGTTGAGATATAGTGTCTCAAATATAAGCGTCGATGTAGATTTTTTTGCACAATGCTGTGGTCCCCTCAGATTCATCTGAAAAATCAACTTTCAAATTTCGACTTGAAACTTTACGCAGAGGAAGGTCTCAGTGAGACTAGTTAATTCTGAAAGTGTTAAATTTCTCGGTTGCTCCTATCCTTAAATATCAACATTTAATATTTTGTGCTATAAGTGATATGAAAAATATGAAAAAGAATATTTTTTCTTATACTCGTATCTCGGGATAGAAGGAACCCAAAAATTCGAAACTTTCAGAATAAACTAGTTTCATTGAGACCTTTCTCTGCGTAAAGTCTTAAGTCGAAATTGTAAAATTGATTTTCAGGTGAATCTGAGGGAGACCACGGCTTTTTGCTAAAAAATGCCATAAAAATGAAATATCTCGACAGAAATAAGCTATGAACACGAACTCTTTTCAGAATGTTCATAGCTCATTAGAGCCTACATAATACACATAGTCTCGACTCAAAAGCGATTTGGCAACTGGGAATTGCTCCTGACCCCCTTTTTCTGCCCACTGTGCGGGCGGGTGGACTGGAGTTTCTATCTCTATCATTTAACATTCCTTTTCAACCATGTTTCACAAAATATTAATTTTACATGATATCTAAAGAGACACAGATTGTTGAAAATGTACGTAAACGCTCAAAAAAAAATTTCTATGATCTGAATTGTTCTTAAAGTCGCTTTTTTCAACGTTTACATACTTTTTTTTGACAATATTTGTCTGTTTGGATACACACACTTCATGTTTTCAAAAGAGTTTAAAAAAACATTTAAATTAAGGAGAACATGACTAGTCACATGTAACACAACCTGTTCGAGAATTCTAAATAGCATGAAAACAAAATGTATGTTTTTGCTGTCCCAAATAGACTCTTTTTTGAAAGAATGAGCTGAGAAACATGTAAATCTTGAAATTGAGAATATTAATAATAATCTATTTATTTTGAATGAGAGCGAAGGGTACTTAAACTTTGTGTTTCTTTTATTTGTGTATGATCCGCGTGATGAAAAAGATATATAACTTGAAAGTTTATGAAATTGTAATCTTGATGGAAATTTTTTTAATTTTATTGTTACGTAGTTCATTTATTGAATAAAAAGAATAGTTATTTTGCATTAAATATATATTTGATCATTATATGATTTATATAAAGTAGATAACTGAACTTCTATTGTTGAAGCTGATTAAAATTAATTATTTGAAACCCTTAACTGATTAACATATGTTATTACAATAATATTTTAATCATATAATACAATTCATTTGAATACTAGAGAATGATTGACGAATAACAATACTTGTAGAAGAAAATACTGATATATCAGTATTTTATTATACTTTTTCTTGAAATTGACATAAATCATGACGTATTTAATTGACGAGTTTCATTAAGTCTTACAGAAATTATGGCTTCTTGAAAAACTGACAAATTATTATCTGTTTATTTCTTTAAGATACTTCAAAAATCAATTAGAAACATCTAATTTCAAATCATCACAACCGAAACACTTTGTCACGTAAATCATTTTAGTTTTATTTAACTGTTTTTTGTTAATATTTTCAATGAAATATTATTGTACAACTAATATTGATGAGATATCACAACATCATTACTATGTCAACACTAAAGAATTTCTTGTCTTGAATGTGATTTAATTGATAAGATCAGAATATGAATATTTTCTTTAGTGATATTATTAATCAATCATTGTAGTCGGTAATGATAACGATGAAAAACAGCACAAATGTAGCTTTTATTAATAGACACGTTGAAATAATCGAATGTAGAATTTTTGATTTTATGTTTTCTTTTGTATCAATAGTGTAATCCTTTGAGTACCGGCTTTTTTTTACGAAAATCGAAATCTTTTATAAGAAATGTCTGAATGTGAGCTTTATTTTTTTTACAAAGAAATTACATTTCTGCGTGAAAAACCATTAGTAGTTCATCTTCGTATGGTAGTCTTTAAAGCAATCAACAATACATAGAGATAGATTACAGTCAGGATACATATCTTCTATCACATCGAGAATTACGAATTTTTCATAGATACTTTCAAAGATAGTCAACCACAAAAGACATGAGGTTCTCAGAAAATTTTTTCGTCTGTAAAACTTCGTAGAGCTCATTGCGCTGATCATTTCGGGAAAAAGTATTCAAACACCTGAACTTACCACTCAGTAGCAGTCAGGAATAGCGGAAGGTGTTAGAGTATTTTGACCCTAATACCATCATTTATTGAGTAAATTGAAATATTCTTTTACCAAAATGATCAATGCAACAAGCTCCAAAAATTTCTATAGAAGAAACAATT